ATTTATGGCACATCCAAACTATTGACAACTATGAAGTTGTTAAAAAGAATAAAGTAGATTTATACAGACTGATTTGAAAGGCTATGTATGATATATTGTCAATGCCAACAAAACGTTGTAAAATAAGATAACATGATCCCCATCCTGGCAAAAACTGAGGATAACAAAGAAGGAACTCTGGTATACACATCTTTTCTGTTCATGGTGGTTTCCCCTGGGCAGTGGGAGTGAGCAACCGTGAGCAAACAGAAAAGATTCTCACTTTTTACTTTGTACATTGCTATATAATTAGCATATTTTTCCACAAGCATGTACTCCTTTTGAAATTAAAAGAAGAGATATGTAATAAAAAAATAATTCATGAAAATCTTGAAAGGGCTCCAGGGCAAAGAGTTAGCAGTGACAGTTGCTGCTGATAGTTCAAGAAGAATTAAGCCTCAAAGAAAATGGGAGATGGTTCCCCAAGATCTGAAAGCGGGTGGTGTAGCGGGTGGAAGAAGGGAGAGGAGGACCATTTGCACTAGACCTCAATTCCAAAATGCCTGCAGGTTAGGCACTTCCAGTGGTGTGTTTGTGCAAAGAAGCAGCAAGATGTCATAAGATCTAAGATCAAAATGTGAACAGTGTGCCTGGGCCCCTGTGAAAATCACTCAGGACTGCCGGTCTCTTAGGACCCATCAGCCCTGCTGGAGCCAAGCCTTGTCCCTGCTAGTGGGAGCTGGTGGGAGTGACCACCAGAAACAGAAGTTAAGGAGGAACCCCCTGGGAGAGAAATGAGAGCAAAGGAAGGCGGGATCGGGCTCGTTTAGAGTACTGTGTGGTATCTGGAACTCAGATCCGTTCTTTCCTGTCCCAAATTCTCCTGGCTGAGTCCTAGGGTGGAGAAGAAGCAGAGAATGGAAATGCATGGGATGCTGGTCAGGTTCTTTGTCTTGATCTGGGTCCTGATCTACATGGGTGCGGTGAGTTTGAGAAAGTTCAGCATCTATACACTTGGGATAAGAATTCTTTGTAAAACCAAGTAAATGAAACAGAAATATCTGTACCAATGTTTTTGTTTTGTTTTGTTTCGTTTTTAAAGCCACAGAAGACAGGGAGAACTGAGAAGGTTAGGATCCTTTAGACCCTAGGAGAACAAAAGAACAAAAGTGAATGCTGTGGTTCACTCCAGCATTTTGAGGGTCCCAGCCTCAGTCCCAGCCTCAGTGGAGGCCATGGTGATGGTGATGTGCTCAGGCCATATTTGTAAATACATAGAGTTACAGATGTTGTTGTAGAGACAGAGA